ACAAATAATATGTTTATTTTATTGATACTTTCTCTATATTATAATGAGAATTCCCTATTGTTGACCCGACTACTTGTGAGAGAACCTAAAATCAAATCTCTATCTCTCAATATGTGGGCTTATGGTCCTTTTGTAGTGAACTCTTTGAGACTTTCTTAAACTTAATGAAAGGTCATTCCAATCCCTATCTCTAATTTTAATGAGCTATAATTAGGCTTAAACTCACTAATTGTAGTTGCTTTGACTCTTAAGTACCCCACAATATAGCTATAACTTATCAACCCAAAATTTATTATAATGACCTACGACCCTTCTTAATGACTTTAGAATATCCTTCTGGATCATTATGGGGCTTAAGGAGGTTTGATAAACCCTATTTGACCAAGTCAAACCTAAATGACTTATGGAGCTCCTACAAGTCAGATGTCATCAATTTCTAAGAAATTGATTTCTATTACTTTTCATCTATATAGAAACTTGTAAGCCATTAGACAACTCTATTTGACCAAGTGGCTTACTGATCCCGAGAAAATGCAGTTGTGTAAAATTTATAAAGTTGACTCCGCTTTGCAACGATGTCAAAAATTTGATGTGGTATTTTATGAATAATAACGTTAAACATTTAAAGTTGGGATTCTACACAAGTATACATATAGTTATCATGTAATATATGACTTTCTTTTTAAGTCTCAAATATCGATCCCACGGGAAAAGTTTAAATTTGAAATAACAAATTAACTATGAAATTCATAGAAATTAAACGAAATTACTGTCACTAATTTTGAAAGTTAAGATATTATCAAAGCTAAATTATTTACTACTAGCGGAATTTCAAAGCAGATTTTAAAAATTAATAGTTATCAAACTATGTTTATGTGTTGAAGTTTTCTAATGTGAAAAAACATTTTTCCCACTACAATGAGTTTTTTGTGAAATGAGATGAGATAAATTGTTTAAATATGTATTGTGCAAAATAAGAATAATTTTAATTCTCTACCCTCATTCATTGCTAGAGAAAATCATTGGCTAATCTTATGTTTAGTCCTTAAATCCGTGGTTAAGCTAGGATTACTAAATCCCACTCTAGAGCTCCCACTTCCCTTAACCTGAAGGCTAACTCTCGATTTAGTTTTTAAACACTCACACCAAATTGGGGATTTTAGTCTATCACCCTAAAGATTCTCTAATTCTACACTCAACAAAGTATATTTTTCTATTTATTTGCACTTAATCCCACGAACGAAATACTCCTTCATTGACTTAAATGTGATTCTCACTCTGTTGTAGAACTCATACTCTATTTCCCTGATCATATGTTTCACAACATATTTTAACAATTCAATTAGTCAGATTGAAAAATAAATTAAGAGCGAAGTTGAAAAAACCATCACAATTTATTTTAAATTTTAACATCGGCACATCCACATTATCTCTTCATTTCATCATATCTCAGCGTAAAGAGAAAGATAAAAGAATCTACTCATACTTCATAAGAAAGATACAATAAAACACAAATTTCATATATAAAAGAAAGTTCATACAACAATAATAAACAAATAACACTTATCTGAAACTCTTTCTCAAAACAAATCATCTGTAGCCTCTCTTAGGAAATGTAGGAAGAAGAAATCTCTCACTTCTCTTCATCTCCAACGCTTCTTAGAAAAGAATTCACACTTAAACTTACCACAAAAACTCAAATTTATTAAAACAATAACTAACTAATGATACTAACTAACAATAACTAACTAATGATGTGGAATGACGTGGAATGTAGGTGTGTGAAGAGGAAAATTGAAAATGAGTGGAAGAAGTTGAAATGGTGCGAAGGGGGGGTTTCTGATCAAATTTCAGTCCTAAATAAATCTTAGGTCAATTCTCCAATAGGTGCATCAAAAAGCGTCTAAATTCTTTGAATCTTCTAGAAACAGGGCTTCTACCGACACGGGCACAGTCGGCGCCTAGGACCCGTAATTAAATCCCAAGTTTCTGTCAAATGGCGCCATCGGCGCTGAAAAAATATCTAACTTCTCCATTTTTGCTCTAAATTCAATTATTTTTGCTTCCTTTTTTACTTCAAGTCCTGAAAATCAACAACCTGCAATAAAATATAAAAAATACCTTCCATTAAAGTGCAATATCACAAAAAAATGAATATAAAATATGGGTCTAAAAATGCAGATTTTTTTGGTGTATCACTCATTGAGAGCTCATTTCACCTAATCCAATTCAAGCCATCCCAAATCAATCGAAACTCAATTTTTTTTGGCTCTAAATAAAAGTAATATTTTTCGGATGAAATTTAGTCCATCCAAGGCTAAATGCCTGACCAACAAAAATTTACAAAATGTACATTATGATCCATTAAGGGTCATTTGAGAATTCCCTATTGTTGACCCGACTACTTGTGAGAGAACCTAAAATCAAATCCAAGGCTAAATGCCTGACACACTTGAGACATGTTAAATTCCAATTAAATCAATTTTGGGCACTTGACCCGTGTTGACCTATTTAGTTAAGCTTAGATCAAATAAATTTAAATTAAAGTATATTATGGCAAACATCTCCTTAGGTTATTTTTTTTCAATTTAATTAAATCTTTTCCCAATTGCACTCAGTTAGACCTAATGGCCCTCAGTCCCATCATGGATCAACATTGGTTAAGTTGGGCAAAATTGAACCAAACACAACTCATATCTAAACCAATTGCACCTAACACTTATTTATTTCCATCATTGTTACATCTCATAACAACTACAATAAATATAAATAAAAAAGAAGTTATGAAGTAAAAAATCATTGGTAAAGTATACTCATTGAAATATGATTATTAATTTTTTCTTTATTTTATCCTTATTTGTTATACTTAGAAATATTATAAAATTTATAAATCTAATGCATTGAAAAAGAGAATTTTGGTGGAGAAGTTACTTTTTTTTGTTTTTGTATTTGTTCTTGTTTTTTTTGTTTGTTTGTGAAATCTTGATGATTAACATCTTGTTCTATTAACCTAGAAGATAATTCTTTGATGGAAAGTGTGATATTTATTAGATTTATTTTATTGGAAGTGATTTCTTTCTATACTTTTATTTACCCAAACTTTTAGAGATTTAGAGTTTCTTTTTATTCTCATACTCCCACACCAAATTACTAAGAAAATACTCAACCTAACCAAATTATTTCCAAACAAAGCCAATCGACTGTTTTTTCTATATAAAAATCAAAACCTTCTTATAACAATCATAAATAACCCTAAATTTTTATTCCTAACATCCATAGGTTCTCCAAAAGGAGTTACCCTTCTTCCTTCACACATATTCAAGAATATTAAAATAAGCTTAAACCCCTCTATCTTTTTGATACGTCACCAACTAATTTTCATCATTCGACACGAATCTCAAAGCATAACACGGATCCAGAGACGATACTTTGTTCAAGAAAAATTTAAACATTGATAAAAAGTCATCCAGAGGACCGATTCCAACAAACTTTTAGTCAAACTGACATGCTCAATGAGACGAAAATTTAGTCAAATATGAGTCAAATCAAGCCCAGATCAAGTCATTAAATCATTCTTGAAAGATTTTTTGGCACATTTGGAAAGTCAAATAGACGCCGAATCTAACAAGTTTATACTCAATCGAGTGTCTCGACAAGACAAATCCATCGAGCCCATGATCACTCAATTCCGACATCATTAAGACATTCAAATGTCTATTAAACACCGTTTGATTGAAAGAAGCTCTCCGAACCGTCTGATCAAAATAGTTTATATTTCTGTATTAATTGCACGTAGAACACTATAAATAGAGTCCCACCCCTCTCATGAGGGGGGAGCTTAAGCCTAGAGAGAGAGAACTCGAGTCTTTTGAGGAGGAGCTGCAGCATCACTGTCAACCGCTATCAATCACTGTCAACCGCCATTGACCACCGGCAATCGCCGTCGATCACCACCAACCATCGCTGACCACCCCTGACAATAGTCGAACAACGCTTAAAGCAGTCGACCGCCAACCTTCGTCTACCACTGCCGACTTCTGTTGATATATGTCAATCGTTGTTGACCACCGCTAATCGCCATCAATCACCATCAATCATTGTAAATCATCACCAACCAGACGCCATTAGTCGAAACTGTAATATAAATAAAATAGTTACTATTTCCCATCTGTGGGATAAAATATTTCTATAATCATTAATTAATAGTGGATTTTTGCAACTGGGCCAGACCTCACAGTTTTTCCCTTTACGGGTTTTTCACATAAGAACTTCTGGAGTTGTCACTGTTTGCTTCTCTTTCATCTGTGTGTGTGTTGAATTCTCGTACAAAGTTAATACAGTAATCTGTTACTCTACCAACATGAATTGTTTAAACATAACTTTTAATGGATCATAGCCACCAATTAAAACTCTCCTTAGATTCCTTTACATCCCTCAAAGTAAATAAAAATTAATTACATCAATCTCTGTCTCAAACACGAGAAATATTTGCATACGGAAAACATATGCAGAGTTGCGTACATTTGAGATTATTCGGAGTGTATATCAATATTACACTTAAGTTATACCCTCTTGTAATTTTTCCTGAACCTAAGTGTAACCTAGCTGTACTCTCCGGATAACCTAAAATGTATGCAACTCTGCATACGTTTTCCGTACGTAAATATTTCTCCTCAAACATCACTATATTTTATTGCTGCAACAAGTCATGATTCTAACATAATCACACATTAAACAAATATATAATTAAACAATATATATACATAATTATCCACTCTTAATCATATCTTTACAATTTTACACATGAGCATTAAATAATATTAGTCATGAACATAAGAATATGAAATACCATACTATTAAAGTTTATTTATTTTTCAATGAAATATTTATAATAATATTTAAATTATTAATTAACCAAGCACAATTAAGCATATTGGTTCCTTTGTGACGCTCTTTAAAGTCCTTCCGGTCACCCAGCATGAGTCGAATTCCAGCTGGATGGCTATTGTCTAGCAGACAACTGGCTTCCGTTCAGAGTCGAGCTTCGGTCCGCGAGCCTGAGGCCGTCATGGCTAAGTCCAGCATTTCGCGCCCGTTAATAACCCTCCGCGCTTCGGATTTAACCCCCGTCTCTCCATACCTCTGTACCCGCCTCCACCGGCAACACCACAGCACCACCTCTCATCACCATCCCACGTACACTTCAGGTTCTTGCCTCATCTAACTCTTCCCAACCATTAGCAACCAACGAGCGTTGCCACCCAACTTTTAGCTCTATTTTGGGGCTAACGGAGCTCGAACGCTTTCATCCGATTTCGAGTTCTGAAATAATCAAAAGCCGGCGCGGGACGCTTGATTCTGTTCCCTAGATTAATTGTCGTTGGCACTTTGATCTACTGAGGCTCAAGTCCTCTTTTTCATCAGTTGAAGAATAGTAGCCCTGTTTTTTGTACAAGGAAGGGGTTTCCCTCAACGAAGGTGAGATCATCTGGATACGTCTTTTACTTGCCTTAAATGTACTTCTCTTCTAGGTTTGATTCGTTCTGGTGCTCCGCTAGGGCTTGAAGCATTTTAATTTTAGGGCTTCCGCGGCGAATAAACTGTTTCGGACATGTCTCGGAATCTAGCAACCGCTCAGTTCCACAAATCGAAAACCCTTTATGAGAAATATGTGAGCATTTTTTCCCAGCAGTGTACTTGAATTCTGATATTTGAAAGGGTTTATCGTTATTATTATGGGTTGTTGTTAGAAACTTGGAGATGAGATTGGCAAGGGAGCTTATGGTCGAGTTTATAAGGGTCTTGACCTGAAAAATGGAGATTTTGTGGCAATCAAGCAGGTTTCCTTGGAGAATATTCCTCAGGAGGATCTTAACATCATAATGGTAACTTCATTCTCTCGTTGTCTGGATGATTCTTCAATGTTTGAAATTTATTGAGTTTTACTTAAAAAGTACCAGAGAATTTTGCTTGAATATGAATGAATGGAAAATGAGGTTAGTGAAGCGGATCACATATAGCTAGGATAAATTTCTCGAACTTCTCTCAGCGAAAAACAGTTAGAGGGTAGTGCTAGGGTGATGGTTAAGCTCTCCATCTTTAATTAAAGGTGGTAGGTGCGAATCATGTAAACAACCTATTTGCACTATGGGATTTTCCTTCAAGTCCTTTTGTGGGAGCTTAATGCATTAGGCGCACATCTTTTCTTTCATAGAAATAATTAGATGCAACAAAGAAAGAAGAGCTAGATAACAGCAATAGTACTTGGAAGGCCAGTGCAAAATGCAAATAAGCCAGAATCATGACCAAATTTTTATCTTATTATTTAGATAAAGCGGATGATCTCTTATATATTATTTGACTTGGTACTATTTGAAGTTTCAATCACGTGTTATTCTTTTGTTGTTATTTGAAGATTATTTTTCAGGATTTTCTTGCTTAAATTTGTTATGTGGCATATTTGGAATCATTTCGATTGCTTTGGAAAGTATAGAGTTTTATTTCAACATCAATCATAACATTTTTATTGCTTTTGCTCACTTTATGGAGATTGGAAGCCAATATATTTTTTTTCTCGATGCAAGTTTAATAAAAAAAATATGAAAATAAAGTTTATTTTGATCCATAATGCCTATAGTGTTGCATTGTTCTATATCGTGTAATTTTAATTATTAGTAGAGTGTTTCATTTGATTATGGTCTAAATTTGACAAAATTTTATGTTTTTTGGAAACCTGGCTATTATATTATTTTCCTAACCAAACGATACATACATTCTACTATTTAAAAAATAACATGTGATTTTATCAATTGATGATCTTAATCTTCCAATTGTATAAAATATCCTAATCTGTTAATTGGCTTCCACCAACATCAAATCCTTTTATTTAAATTCTAAGGCTGCATAAAGTTCTACGGTTAGAAATCAAAGCATAAATGACTGTTTTATGAGTATACTATAAGTAGTTCATGCATGTATGAAATATAATAAAAGTCATGAGAATATCAAGAGTTAATCTCAAATTTGAATAATGATATTAGATAATTTTATCATGATATTTATTTAGTGTTGTATTATTTCTAGAAATTTTCATGAAGCCTATGTATACCAATTTAATCATTTTGGAATGATATATCAAGTTATTTAAGCATAAAACTCATTCAAATACCATTTATATTTCCGTATTTAGTTTTTAAAATTATTCTATTTTTCTTGGTTTCTATCATAATTTGTTTCACTATATTTTCTCTAGTGAACTCCCAACTTGCTTCACCTTGATTGAGAAGTTTAGAATCCACTTAGCCTTCCAAAAATTCACTAGATAGTTCAATACATAAGTCTCCATCCTTAAATTTTGCCTTAAATCAATTTTCTATTTATAAGCTAGCTAACTCAAAACCTTAACCACTATATCGAACCGAGTTGTCGATTCTCAGAATCTTCGTCACGATTATTGATTTGACAATCAAATCCTGAAAAAAAAATTTCAAATATACTTATAAATCCAAGTAATGTGCATCAAAAAGTCTTTGGACTTGGTTTAATGTACTAACTATAAGGTAACCTTATGATTTCATGGCAGTGCACCGACTTTGTGGTTAAGAATTGATTTCACCAATGAGTGTCACTGTTGCTTAGAGTTCAAATTCAACCAAATCAATTTTAATTGATATGAAAGTTATCAATGGAAGTAAGATCTGCACATATTTTCTTTTAATTTCAAACATTGAGAAAGCATTAGAAATATGAACATTCTTTCATTCAAGTAAACTTTTGATACATCATCTAGTCGGAGAAAGGATAATATATTACCTGAGTTAAGTTCTCCATTGGAAAAGCTGCCTTAGAATTTCTTATCTTATCGGCAGCAAGAGCTTAAAACACATTTTTTTTAGACTCAAGCTTAATTTTCTTGAATCATCTCTCTTGTCTGGTACAACTTGTTTTGCTTAAAGACATCCCCGCTTATAGTCTTAGCATGTATACCACATCACTAACCGCTCTAACAACCTGCCTCTTTTAGAATTATCTATTTGGCTTCTATGACAGGCTCATCATCTGTTGTAGTAGTTTGCATGTTACCGACAATACCACTTTGCATCGATACCTCATTGGAAGATGTATTGTTAGCATTCAAATCTTGTATTTGCTTTGATTGAGCAACTTTAGAGAACTCGGTCCTTATTTTAGTCACAATGGCTGTAAGAACTTGATAAGGTGCCCCATAAACTTTCTTGGGTAGAGAAGACATTATGCTCTGGGTTAATTCACTCGCAACTTGAGACATACATGCTGAATTAGGCCTTTTGATATCTTACTTACAATTTTTCTCAAATACTTAAAGGGTGAAAGAATTGGGTAACTAATCCACATTAACATGCATCCATATTCGTTCAAGGTAGATTAATCAAGTCATGCTACAATCCTTTATCATGGTGTAAAGTCCTTAAAAAATTGAAGGCTTGAATCACTTATAACTTGGAACTCTCTCACGAAATTCACATGATGCCTTAAATTTGTCAAATCTTTTGATTACTATCCAATTGCTTAAGATAATCCTTTAATTCAAGCCTTAATAGTAAGCTGTTGACATTGACTGAGAATTTCTGAACTTTACAAAACCATCCATTCACTAAGACAACTCATTTAAATTGTACAATTTGTTCTTCATACTATCCCAGAGTCTTCAGTGACCTAATAAGTTCTTGCCGAGGGTAGTAGCCTACAATTACTAGGGAACCCGCTTGTGGTAACCATGATGCATAACTCACTCAATTCATAAACACTTGTAACCAAATCATCTTATTATTTTTCTATTTAATTATATCAAGTTACTTTTTGTTGTTCCAACTCTGCCCTATAAAGAGGAGGACCAGAGGTCAGGTGTAAGCTCGTGAAACGCGACGCCTTAATCTCTTGACTTTGAGCTATGATCTTTCTCTATCTCTAAATTGTGTTTCCTTAATAAAGTTTGACTCATTTTCTTGGTTTAAAGGGGCTTGGAAAAGTTACTTATAAACCAATCCTTTAAGAGATTTTGTTAGAATTGGTCTGTATTTCTTTCTTTCTTTCAGTCTCATATTTTGGCATTGTTCTTTTCTGAAGAGTAGTCTAGGTTTTTTCCCATTGGAAAATTTATCATCCAACACACTTTTATTGTAATTGAAATTTTTTTTGCCACTCTACAACTAGTTCTAATATTTGTAATGCGTCATCAAACACATTTTTAATAACTTCAACATATATTAAAGACAGTTCTTCATTTCTGATCAAATGAACTCTTAAGGGCAATAAAAAATATATGGAGATTCTTCTCTGGTTTCTATATTTTTTCATTAATTGTCTCAACAAAAAAATTACTTCTATAGTCGATCTTCTTCGCACCGAACTAAATTGATTCTCAAAATGGCAAAGTTTCCGTAAGTTTATTTTCTAGTTCTTCGTAACTCTTTATTATGCGACCCATTGGTCAATGCTCTTACTTTGCAAGGGATGATTAAATTTAATTATAAGTTGTACTTTAAGGCTCTATTATGAGTTAAGGATTGGTGAATATCTTTAAATTAATAATTATTTAAACTTAAAGTTGATATAATATATCACATATACGTAATTAGCCATTAAAAAAATAACACAAAAAGATTTAATTGAGGTAATCTAGCTATAATTTTTAATTTGAATTCAAATTTGAAATATAAATACTAGCATGGTATGAAATCTAGACATTAATTATAAGAGCTATATTCAAATAACATCATGCTGGCAATTTTTTGATACATAAAGGAAATCTATGCAACTCAAAATATCAATTAGCTTTGACTCAGTTTGGCTTAGAGCTCAACATCAGTTTGATTTAACTCAAGATTAATTTGATTCATGTAAACCACACATTTGTATGTTGTCTTCTATCATTTATATAGATTCATTTATGTATAAAAAGTGTACTATATATAAATATATTTATATTTCATACATACATATGCAATTATAGAACAACTTGAATTATGTAGGTCTACATTGGAGTCTAAAGACCTTCATTTAAGTAGAACTAAAACTGAATACATGGAATGTAATTTTAGTAATAGTAGCTCTAGTGACAAAAGTGTGACTTTGAGGGATCAAATTATTAAAAGGTGTGAACGGTTTAGATATCTTGGGTCTGTTGTTCAAAGCGATGGTGATATAGATGGGGATGTTAATAGTAGAATTCAAGTTGGTTGGTTGAATTGGAGGAATGCTTCGGGCCTTTTGTGTGATAGAAAAGTACTGCTTAGATTGAAAGGAAAATTTTATATGATTAGGTGGATGAGTGGCTTTACACTTAGAGACAAAATGCGAAATGAATATATCCGTGATAGGGTTGGTGTAGCTCCTCTGACGGACAAAATTAGAGAAAGTCGTCTTAGATGGTTTGGTCACATTAAACGTCGACCATCTCATGATCCGATTAGGAGAGTAGATGTTTTAGTTTCGACTTGTGTTAAGAAAGACAGAGGTAGACCTAGGAAGACTTGGGCTTATTGTATAAAAAATGATCTTATGTTACTAGAACTAAATGAAAATATGACACTAAATAGGACACAATGGAGAAAAAATGATGCATGTAGCCAACCCCACGTAGTGGGATTAAGGCTTTGTTGTTGTTGTTGTTGATGTTGTTGACATGCATATGCAATTATGCTTGGTTAAGTTGAATATAACAAATTTCTTTTTTGAGCTGTGGTCAACTCGCTTGAACTTAACTCAATTCTAGGCCTACTGATATGACATTTAAATTTAAAAAGAATGACTTGTATGATATGATACTATTGAACGTCTTTGAAATTAAAATCAAATTAAATTCAATGACTTGCGTGGTTTGATAGTTCGCCTTTAAATGTGTTTGAATTCAAATAGGAAATAAATAAATTGTCCCAAGTGGCAACCCTATAACTCACCAAGTGTTAATTCTTTGTTCAATGTACGCTACTTCAATATGTATAAAAATATTTGATTTTCCTATAGTTACCATAATGTTGAGCTTTCATGTTGCTCCAAAGGATTATATCAAAATATATATTTTTTAAATCTTTTGGCATTCTTTTCTTTAACAAATTTCCCTCTAAAAGATTTGTTAACCAAACCTCTATCGTATCTAACCCTTCACTGATTTCCCAATCTTAATAAGCACGTAATCTGAACCTAAAGCTTTATATTTATGCACCATATTTTGTCTAACTCCACATTATTTTTATGGATCAATTTATAATATACCTTTATATTTTTTTGTCAAATACTCTTTTAATTTTTATTTCAAAATTTTTACTCAATATTTTTTTGGTATACTAGTCCCATTTTCCTTTGATATGTTTGTCTTTGATTAAAAACTTATCACTTTCACTTCATATATAACTAACTTGATTTTAGACTTTAAATCTTGATCTCTTTATCTTTTTTAATGTGCTTTTTCTAGATCTTCTTTTTTTCTTATAGAGTACAATGCCTATTATATGTATCATCTAAAACCGCAAACTTTACTTTGCATACTATCCTCCTTGGAAGACTCATAGCATTTTATAATCATTATAAATTTTTGCGATATTTATCTTTTATCCCTAAAGAATTTAATTTGAATTTTTTTAGCAATCTACCTTTAAGGATATGTTTCATTAGTTTTAGTATAATTTACATAATTAGTTGTCGACTTAAACAACGGACCTCAATCTTTCTTTCTGAAGCTTTCTACCGACATTAACAATTTTGTCTAAATTACAACTACTGATGTGTTATGGATATACGAACTATTTGAAGCTTTTTTCATTTGACCTATTTAACCAAACCACCTTTTAATGTAAACTCAAGCATAATCACGAATCTCATTAGAATTATAAATCTTTCAAATGCTACTGAGTTTCTTATCTGCTTATTTGTTTATGCTAAGTTTTCTGAGATGATTGTGCTGGCGTACTGTACTGTTTGGAACTTTATTTATGTTTTGATTTGTAACAAAAAAAATATTTGGCTATTTGATTAAAGTATGGTTGTTTTTAAGGATACTCAAAACTTTTAAAAGTTGCTTTAAATGTTTTAAAAAACATGTTAATTTGTTTTTAGAAAAAAATGTAATAGCATCTAAAAAACACACTAAACAAACATGTTTTTAAAACAGGAGTAAAAAAATAAATTTTATCCAAAACAGGCCCTGACAGATCTGAACACTATGAGCATGGACTGGCATATAAGGTTTTACCAGTTTCTTGACCAACGTGATTGATTTGTTCTATTTTTATCGTGTAATTATGTTTCTTGGATATTTTTTAATAATCGCTACTTGTTTTTTGTTTTTTATATATTTGGTTCATTTGGATTGCACATTACTCATCAATCTAACACTTTTCTTTTTGCTGTATTTTTCCTGCGATTGCTACGTCTCGTGTCAGCAAGAGATTGATCTGCTAAAGGTACATCTATGTTTGCACTTAATAATCTATGCATGGCATTTGTTAATGAGTTTTAAATTTCTTTTTTACTAGATCTACAAACTACTTGGCAAAGCATCCCCCATATACTTAATTTATCACATTGTTTTGTGCTTGTTTCGCAGCTCTGCCCTAATATACACCTGATGCAGGCCAAGAAACCAAACATCAAAAACTTAACAAAAAAATTCATAATAATCAACTAATTGTCTTCCAAAGATCATCTAAATGCCTAAGAACTTAAAGGAGAAAACGGAAATAAACATTGAAAACATATACAAATCATCATATAATTTCTATCCTTCATCTCATCATTGAAAGAAAAAAAGAGAGAGTGATATCAGAATTGGGTTTTTGTTGGTCTAGTTTAGAAGGCTGGAATACAATGCGTTTATCAGAATTTGCAGAAAATTAATTAATTTTCTTGATTTTGGCCAAGGACGTGACTTGATTTTTTTGAAAAAAGCAAGCTTCAAATATCCATTTTTCCTTCATCTTTTCTCTTTTTTTTTCAGCGGCTTTAATAAATGTGCTGATTCAGGAATTTGATGTACACACTCACATAGATTTTCTAATTTGTCTGAAGTATTCCATTACATGGCATTTATAACCATTCCAATGCTATTTTTGGTCATATTTATCATTTTCACTATCGTCAATATCATCTTTTTGCTGCAGAATCTTAACCACCAGAATCTTAACCACAAAAATCACAAAAATATTGTGAAATACCTTGGATCATTAAAGACAAAGACTCACCTGCATATCATTCTGGAGTAAATTCCGATTTATTTTCCTTTTTCTGATACTATGTTCTTTTTTGTGAGGTTTCGATTTCATTTTTTGTTTAGTACTGTAATTTATGGGTTAATGCTATTTTGACTTGATCTTCTCTTTAGGTATGTTGAAAATGGTTCACTTGCTAACATAATCAAGCCCAACAACTTTGGACCATTCCCTGAGTCGTTGGTGCCTCTTTATATTTCCCAGGCCAGTGCCTTATATATTCAATATGCTGCTAGTTTTTTTTTTTTATTTTGATTCAGTGATTATTTTTTGTTGTCAATGAGCAGGTTTTAGAAGGTTTAGTTTATTTGCATGAGCAAGGAGTCATTCACCGAGACATCAAGGGTGCAAACATTTTAACCACTAAAGAGGTTATATTGCTGTATTGGTTATATTTCGATTTTATTTTTCTCTCATTTTATGAACATATGTTGCAATTTATGAGAATCTTCTTGCTACCCTAGCGGGTTTCAACATGTACGACCATTTTGTGTGTACTGACAGTATGGGATTGTTTGCTTCAGTGACATGCCATGCAGATGTAATTCTATCAATAAGTGTCGGTCATTTGGTTTGTTTACATGTGCAGACAATAAATATGTAAATGATGTTTCATGTTATTTTGCTGACCTATAGATATCACCAAAATTGTGCGACATTTATAGGTCTAGCTATTTGAACAAAGAACTAAATAAACGTTATTTTATTGATCACACTAAATTAATCCCATATAATTTGATAGATATTTTTGATGTCTATACTGATATCTAAGTGGCGCTCCCTACTTCAACCAGTCAGTTTCATGTAACCAACACATGGAAAGGTTCCTTTTTTTTTCCCTGAAAGAAATTGACATTTCTCTTCTTTGGTTGGTTTTTGGAAAGGAGCATAGATGATGATTAATGTGCTTTCAGTTTTGTGTCTTAATTGATACATAAGCTTTTGAACTGAAAAGGCTGCGCTCTGGTAAACTTTATTAGATTCTATTGGTAGTGTTTTGAAGTATCATGTTTATGAAAAGCTCTCAAAACGAAAAGCGGGAATCCCATCTTTGGAGTCAGAATTGATATTAGTATTATTGTTTTACTATTAAGATTTCAGAAATACCCCATGGCGCAGTTCCTAGTGATGTGTACATGTATTGTATTTTTGTTACCATACCTATTGGTTGATGGAAAACTTCCTTCTTATTTTTTAATTGAAAGAATATATTACATATTTATACACACTTGCAATTCTCTAGATTAGGAATAACTCTAATATAGAAAAGATCCTGTAATTAGATCTCCTTTAATTAAGTTGCCTACTATCAAATTTTCAATATACACGATTCAAATTTATGACTTTTCTTAACACTCCCCCAAAGCTAGAGCATAAATATATGTCATGCCCAACTTGTTAAAAATATAAGTAACCCTATCTCTATTAAGGGCTTTTATAATGATATCTCCTTGTTGTTCTTCAATTTTCACATGAGCTGTAGAATTTAGATTCTGTTGAATCTTTTCACGAACTAAATGACAATTTATCTCAATGTGTTTAGTTCGTTCATGAAAAACAAGATTTGGGGCAATATGATTTGCAACTTGGTTATCTGACCATAATTTTGCTGGAAGTGCCATCTTAAAACCGTCTCGAACAAGAGTAGGTATGCCCACATCAATTCACTCGAATCATGTGTCATCGTTCGATACTCAGATTCAACACTTGACGGTGACACTGGTCTATTTCTTACTCTTCCATGAGATTAAATTACGAATAACAAAGACACAATCTTCAGCAATGGATTTTTGATAAATCTTGAAACTTATCCAATTTGCAACAGAAAAATTTTCAATATTTTTATGCCCATGATCCTACTATAAAATATCTTGCTAGGAGCTTCCTTGAGGTAACATAGTATTAATTCTAAAGCTGACCAATGATGGACTGTGTGAAAGACAAATTGACTGATAGTGCTATCTGAAGATGTAAGGTCAGAATGAGTTACTATGAGGTAGTTTAATTTTCCCATCAACTTTATATATCGTTATGGATCATTAAAAAGCTCTCCATCATTGATAAGTTACTGATTAAGGGTCTATTTGGGCCAGCTGCAAGTGTTTAAAGAAACAACTATGATGCTGTTGCAGAAGAAGCTGTTGTTAAAAAAGTTGCGGCGGTTATTACAACTTTTTTTTCCAACAAGTCAAACCACGACTTTCTAGCAACTACTGTGCTTAGTCGGGTCCGATTGCGAAACACAATTTGCAGTTGCAATTTTTTGAAAAAGTGCAGTGAGACACTGCAAAGCTACCACACTGCTGCCCCAAATGCACCCTACGAAGCATAGGAGCACTGCACGGTTTAACCCTAAATTTTCAGTTTCTGTTAACAAATCCAACATATATTTCCGTTGAAATAGAAATGTACTATTCTTGCTCCTCGATACCTCAGTCCCCAATAAGTACTTCAAGGAACTTGCATTTTTAGTGCTGAACTGATTTTGAAGAAATGGTTTCAACGATAAGATTCCTTCCACATCGTCTCCAGTAATATTGATGCCATTAATGCAAGCCACCAATATACTGATTTTTCAAGCAGATTGCTTATAGAATACAATGCATCCCAAACCCTTCTGCTTGGCTAAATTTTCCAAACTATGCTCGATGGTTTGTTTCAATCCCTATAAGGGCTTCTGATGATGACATAATTTTCCAAACTCCTAAGCAACAAACCTAGCAGGTTGGCCCATGTATATATTTTTCTATAGATCACAATTTAAAAAGACATTCTTTCACATCCATCTGATGCATTGGTCAATTATTCATTGCAACCAAGGATAGGAGTTGGAAAACCGAAGTCAACTTAGCTACCGAAGAGAATGCGTCCGAGTGGTCGATCCCATAAGTTTGAGCATAACCCTTAGCAACCAATCAAGCTTTGAGACGAGCTACAAATCCATCATATTGGAAGTTAATTGTGAAGACCCACTTATAGTCAACAATCATTTTGTCAGAAGGTAGTTCAACTAGTTCCTAAGTTTCATTTTCTGTTAAAGCATTCTTCTTATCAAGCATCGCTACTAGCCACCCATGGGATAGGACTTGTTAACAGATCTTGGAATCTCAACAAAGTTAAGAGAAACAACAAACAAAGAAGAATTGAAAGAGAATAGATTATAGTTAGCACAAGGAAATGGGCTAAACACATTGATGTTTACTTTTCAGAAGAGCAATAGGTAAATCAAGGTCATTGGCAGGTGGATCCGCTGAGGAAGATGATATTGGCGCCGAACTATGAAGGTCATTTGCAGGAGGATCCGCTGAGGAAGATGATACTGGTGCCGAACTATGATCAGGGAACGAGGTTTTCTCGATTAAACATTAGTGATATGTGGTCTAGGTTGAGGCACTGGAGTTGAAAGTGGAGGTGGAGTATGATCTGAACTTATGATGTGATATATTACAAACTCATCAGCATCTTGTGAGGATTTAGGAACTGATGAATACAAAAAATGAGATTTGTTCATAAAAGATGACATTAGCAGAAATCATGCACTTGTTTAAGTGGAAAAACATATTGTTACCCTTTCTGTAGATGACAATAACCTATAAAGACACTTTGTGTGTAAGTATCACGAACAAAATAAGTTCACCCAAATATGCGTGGTTCAATAGAAAAGAGATGGTTGAGAATAAAACTTGGTAGGGTGTATGGTTCTGTAAAACAACTAAAGTGATTTGATTATTAAAAAAATATGCAATAGAAACTGCATCAACCCATAACTATTTAGGCACATTCATTTGAAATAAAAGAACTCTAGTCTTCTCAAGAAGATATTTATTATTCCTTTCACCTAATTTACTTTGGAATGGAGTATTAACACAAGAGTGAAGCATCTCGTTTTGTTTCATATACTTCTAAAAGGGCGCATAAAATGTTCTTTAACATTGTCATTTCATAGAATCTTTGCCAAAATATTGAATTAAGTTTTAATTTCGGCACAAAAAGATAGAAAATGTGATAGTTGCCCAGTATGTGATTTTATAAAGTAAAACAAAGTCATACGAGAAAAATTTTCTACAAAAGTGACAATATAGAAATCCATTAGATAAAATAGGACAAGGTCCTCCACATCAGAATGATCCAACTCAAAATTATGACATACTTTTTTTATTAACTCTAGAAACAAAATATAAACGATAATGTTTAATAATTTGACACGACTCACAATCTAAAGATGTTAATTATTGAAATTGATGGTATAATGTTTTCAACATTGAAAGTGTTGATTGTCTTAATCGACAACTCTTAAAAGGAGATAAGGGATGGAACAAACTACAGGTCGAGGTACCTTATTATTCAAAATGTATAGCCCCCTCCCAACCCCCTCCCAATTCTTGCTCTTTATCAATAATTTTCGTCATCATAAGCTCTTCAAGTAGACAATGGTCGGGAAATAATAAGATATAACAATTGAGAGCTCCTATAAATTTGCTAGTAAAAATAAGATTAAAAGTGAGTTGAGGTAAACTGAGAACAAAAGTTAGAGGCAATGTGGGTGTGTAATATTGTTGGCGCCAGAACTAAAAATATTAGAGGTAGATTCATCTACTAAAGTTACAGAATATATTTGCATATGAAAGATAGAAAATCATTTTGGATTACCTGCCATGTGATCTGTAACACCATAATCAACGATCTATTGTGTGGAAGAGGAAAGAAGATAAGTATCATTGTTCCTTAACTCAACAAGAGCAGTGTTAAATGGAGTTTTTATGAATGTTTTTTGAAATTTGATGAAGTTAGCATATTCGTCTGCAGAGATTGAGTGCCTGACTTGGAGATGCCTCATTAGTAGTGACCAATGAGCTGACTATGAATTAGAATCCTTAAATGAGGAACTGAACCTTTGGCTGGTTCATGAACAAACCGATCGAACTAGCCGGTCTGGTTCGGTTTTCAAAACTCTGGGTAGTGTGCTATTACTATCATGAATGTGGTCATATGAAAAGAATGTACAAAAGTTGCTAAAAAAGAACCAACAATTGACATAAAAAAAACCCTTCACAATGAAACAGTGGTTCAACCCATGATTTGGCTAACCAACACCGGTTCTAAGGTGCATGTCGGTTCGTATAATTTATCTTATATTGCAGAAAAATGAAAATAGCGAGCAAAAGCGTGTTCGATCCCGATCCCACCCAAGTTCAGGTATCATACTTCTCTCGAGCTTTCCAAATCTTGCCGCAAGTTCGTAGCTCGTCAAGGACATCTCACTAACCCTTTCGTCGAAGTCTCATCAATTGTTTGCCAATATCTCATCAGTAGGTATTTACCGGTCTCTTTTTTTTTTGTTCTTTTAGCTCTAAAATGTTGGTGTATGGTTAGTAATGATGTTGATGGTGACAAGCTCTAACTCTAATCTATTAGTTTTGTTTCTTCCTGATGTTGGCAGTTTTTATACAAACAATCTTTTTTATTATTTTCATAATTCATTATATGAATTATTTTTTTAAGTAAAATAAACTTTTGTAAAAAGATTTATTTAAACTAGATTGATATCAACCATTTTGTTGACATATTGAAACACCACTGAGAGGGAAAGGAGTAAGAAACAAAGTTGAAGGTAGGTTAGCTACTTCTATGCATAATGATGCTTGTATATTCTTAACAGATTGCTATTTGATAATATCTAATTTAGGGCCGGTCTACTCACCTTCAAATTATTAGGAGGATGAAATCAAAGGATAAATATTGTATTACTGGGTGATGTGAGCGTTGTAGGATTTGAATTTTCTAAGAATAATGAGATCCTCAATATTTGTAGAGATGCTATAGCTGTTATGAAGATCAGGAGACTCAAATTACTTTCAAGCAGTACTGTAGGATTTGCGTTGTTTAAGTTCACATGTGATTTATATTTCAGAAAATATTATTTATACTATACATTTATTTATATTTATATTTATGAAGTTACCTGGTTCAACCTCTGGTTTAAACTTTGAACTTCAAACCTCCTCGTATACTTGTTCAATGTTCGGTCCGATTTTCAAAACCTTGACACTACTTTTGACCTTTAATTTTCATAATTCGGAGTTCCGTTTCTGTAACCGTCTTGAGATCGAGGTTTACTTATGTCAGTATTTTTCTGACTGACAAGAGTATTAGACTTTTGTACTGATGGTGCATGAGAACTCAAAATCACATGCAATTCTTTAGTATAGACTTATCTCAGAGTTGGACATTCAGGGTCAAATATGATCTGTGATTTGACATCTTCATACTAAGAGTTGAAGATAGTTAGAAAATTCATAATAATCATTTGCATTAGATACACACATTTAAAGTGTATGCGATACGTTTTAAGCGACTGATCCTATTTGTTTAGCTCGATAGAACTCTTTAAATACATCAAAGATTTGAGAAGTTTTTTTTATGCTAGAAAACACAAAGGTTAATTCTTTCATTACATCTTTGACACAATCACAATGAGTAATATGACCATATTGACCAGGTTTGATAGAGTTTCGTATTTGTATCACTAGTTGGGCATCTACTCATCCACCCAGAATAATTCAACTGTCTCAGTTGAAGGATTTTCAATGAGACAACTCTCTTGAGAAATATTCCTTAAATAGAGTTTCACATTTTTGTTCCACTAAAAATAATTGTTGCCATTTAACTTTTAATCTGTCATCTCAGCCACTGATGAAACCTAACTTGTCACAAGGTGTTTGTGATCACCACTCATAATCGATGCCATTCAATGCTGAAAGATGGATTGCCAAAGCACACTAGAAGACAATTACTCGACGACCAACAATTCAACGATCACCGAATAAATAAAAAAAATTAAACGAACAATGCGGAACAAAGCCGAACAAAACAATTGAGGAAATCGACCTTGCTAACCAAGCATAAAATGTAACACAGATCGAGGAAATTGACCTAAGCAGACATCGATGAAGTGAGAACAAGCTGAGTCGAAGAGAAACGTTGACATCGCAGATGAAGCCTTCAAATAAGTGGATGCAAATGAAGCTTTGACTGATGTCCTAACCACATCACAAGAAGAGAAAACTTCGATTGGTGCAGACGAGACCATACGATGCAGACAAAACCTTTGCGAGTTAGGGCCGTAACTTTTTTGATGAACATCACAGTGCATGTCGATGACAAACGATGCAACAATTGATGCCGACGAAGACAATCGATGCGGTCAAGGCCGCACTCGTGTGCAAGGAACAAAGCCAAACAAAGTAATTAACTAGCGGTGCGTATCTCTGATACCGACGAAAATCTATCTTTCTTATTATTCAATTGAAAGCGTATATTACATATTTAAACACACTCCCAACTCTCTAGATTAGGAATAACTCTAATATAGAAAAAAATCATGTAATTAGATCTCTAATTAGGTTGCATAATATCGAGTTTCCAAAAATATAAGTTTCATAATATACAAAACTCAGCTTTATGACTTTGTACAACACTTGCCATACTTTTTTTTTTGGTTAACACTATTCAATGATTTTAATTTAGCTGGAGCCACCACTCTTTTTTTACTTTCTTTGTTTGAATTTTTGAAGCATCATTTATCAAATCCGTTCTTAGAACTTTTAAATCAGTATTTAGTGCTCTTCGTCTCTTATTGGTGGTTATGCTTTGCTTGTAACTAAATTATGATAGTGACATTATGCTGAAATTTATTCCATTTATTTCTAAGGTCTCTATGATCACAATAATATGAATGAATTATGTATGATGATTTAGCATGTGTTCTCTTCCGCGTAGCCAATTTTTTACCCTTCTCGTGTGCAAAATACCGGCAATTAAGTCTTCACTTTAATCACCAATAGCAACCACATCCTTTAGTCACACTTGCTCCTTCGACCATTATTTTAGGCCAAATAACAGCTTAACTGTATCATTCCAAACTGCTGGACAAATCCAAATAGTTAATCTGACTATGGGTCCAAATTAAAAAAAAAAAGAAAAAAAAAGAGAAGTCAGTTTTGTTAAACTAGAGTTGAGTTAGATTTGATTTAGTTAAATTGTGTGTATGAATATCTCAAAAAGGCTTTGAAAGATCTTTCTAGAATTTTTTTGCTCTTGGGTATCTACGATGAATGTCATCTACTTAAATTGTTTTTGATAGTGCTGGCGTGTCTATTCCTCAGTGGGATTGATTTCTTGTTCATCTCTCCTTCTTTCTTCTCCTTAGAATGGATTTTGTTAGCTCCATCTTACAATTGAAGACCCTTTGCTCTTCCTCTAGCTTTTGCTACCTTCATAATACAATTGAAGACTTCGAATTCTTCTTGTCACGACATTGCAACTTCATAATAAGCTCTGGAGAGTTGATGCCGCAGAGTAAAGAAAATTTAGGGGCCGTTAATTTAGAGCGGGATTTAACCTGCATGTAGGCTGAATCTTGCCAGACAGTCATTTTGGATAAAATAAAGCCGCTGATTTGATAAGTCCGGATTTACAGAATTTACTAAATCAAAATAAAGCCAGATGGTCATCTTTTGCCAGATAGCACCTTAGGGTTTATTTATCTTATTAAAAATTAGAATTTCAGATTTGGTTTATTTTATCTTCAATTATTATTTTGAATAACTATAGGATAAATTTGATTTCAATCTTATTTGTAATCACATAAACGGATGGGAGTTATGCCTTGTAATGAATGCTTGAATTAAATGTCAAAATGAACTGAGATCATACTTTTTTGGGTCTCCCATTGGGAATTTTCCCGCTATTAGGTTTCTTCTAGCTGCTTCATCTCTACTTCTTGCATCTCCTCCATTCCATTTCTTCAATCCCCTTCAGTTGTATGTCATTTAGTTTGTATCTTTATACCACATTCTTCCTTTTTATCAAAATATCAACATCAATATTTGATCTCAATTAGTTCGTGTTGCTATACCACTATGTATGAATAAGCATACTTTTTTTTATGGATTCAGTTCTTCAATTATTATAATCAGCGAGGAATTTTTTTTCGTTTTTAAGTATCTAATATATTGGGGTTTAACCCTCCCCATTTATGTTCTACTTGTTGTATTGCAAGATTAAGTTAAAATAAAGTGTTGACTCATTTATTTATTTATATATGTACTTTTGGGGTAATTCCAGCTATAATTGAATAGGCTATTAAAAATTAAAGAGACATTGGTATGCAGGAAGTCTTTGTTTCATCTTCCGCGTAACATGATTGCTCCATAGCTTCTACTAATCTGTTACTAACTTTTATAAAATATTTGGTCAAGATAAATTCTCGTGTGAATTTTGAGTGCTAATAATTGTAGAAGTTCTCACTTAAATCTAGCTTGGGTTATCTCTTCAAGCTTTCAAAGAGTCCAAGGACGCTGTTGTTGTTTAAACAACCTTTTCGTATTTGATCTACTTATTATGATTTTCTAATTACTCTGATGAACTATGTTTTCATTTTCTTTAGATCTTTCTAACTGCCAAGCTAACTAGTTTCAGAAAATGGGCGGATGGCTTGTAGGGTCTTGTTAAACTTGCTGATTTTGGTGTTGCAACGAAGTTAAATGAAGCAGATCTTAACGCACATTCAGTTGTTGGAACACCTTATTGGATGGCCCCTGAGGTAAATTCAAAGGCATTTCCTGAAAGATATTTTTTTCCCCAAAAATATTTACATGCAGGTTTCTTGTATTGGAATGCAGAAGGATTATGAACTTATTCTTACCCGGCTAGTTAGAAATCTATTTATTGTCAAGCTGCTTATCTTTTTTTTGGTATTTTTTTGTTTTTTATTTGCTAAATAATAAGTTGGTGGTATCCGGTGGTTTCTTCCATCATATTCTCGCCAAAATAATTTTTTCTGTGCTGTTAGTTCTATGGGATAAAGGCTTCTTGTTGTTAGTTCTGCCTTTCCCTTATTTTGGTGCTTTTTAACTAGTGCTTCTTTTCTTCCTTCTATGAAGCTGTCAAAAGTTTTATATGAAAACTTACCGGCATATAGAAAAAAATGGTCAAAGGGGTTTGTGTAGGTCCATTTTAGACCTAGCTATCTACTGCGTTCAAATTAAGTCCATTGACCACTCAAAATATGATCCAAAATATTCCCGTTGTTGGATTATTTTGGACCATATTTGGGAGTCAAGTGACTATTTTGGATCGTAGTTAAGGAGTCAAGGTGTTAAATTGGACATATTAGATAGCATGATACTAAAATGGCATCCCATAAGCTGTCTAGCAAATAGCCTAACTTTTTTCTTTTGACATATATTTTGGCGAGCAAAAACTCAAAATAGTCCCCAATTATTAACACATAACTAATTTAATACTAGAGTTTTAAAATGCTCCATATTAGTCCCAAACTTTTAAAAATTAATTCGAATCGGCCCTAAATCAAAATTTTCATTTAATTTAACAAGACTGTTCACAAATTTATGGGTAAATAGGTCATTTTAAAATTTGACATCGAGATCTCTTTTCTGATGTCCCACCCTCTTCCTATTTGCTTCCTTGGTGAGTATTTTTTTCTCTATTGGCTCTTCTTTGTTTGTTTCACTGTCTTGCAGCTTTTCTAAGAAAATATTTGCTCTAAATATCCTTAGCATGATTTGAAGAGGATTTTAAACTTCATTTAATATTTCAAAGGATAATATTTTTGTGGGTTTTAAAGATGTAGAACAACAATAAATATTATATTAAATTTATGTTTTTATATTCTATTTATCAGTAAATTTTTTATGAGAAAAAAATTAAATAAGTACGTATAACTTGATTAAAATTTAAAGACCTTGTTTAAAATTCGAACTTATAACATTTAAAATTTTTAGATTTTTTCCAACGCAAATCTTATTCATAATGTATTAATTAATCTTTTTTCTTGCTATGTTTTTATAAAAGAAATCCAAGAATTTTAGTTTTATTTTGATTCATATATTTTAATTCATTTTTTTTCTTTTTATTATATAAGATTTCACTTATAGTGAAATGTTGAAATGATTTTATGGATCTTACATCTATTTCATTAAAAAAAGAAAGATAAAATAGACATCTCTGGATTAAAATAAAGAGATAACAGGCTCAATACTCTCAAAAAGTAAATCTATTAATGGACAAAACATACAAAGCCTTGGCAGAAAATCCAGCACTAGTAAATTAAAATTTAAACGATAGTGAAAGATCAACCAAAGTTTAATTCAGCCAAATACATTTTTAAGAGAAAAGCTATTATTAATAATACTCAGATCAACCAGACCTAACCGATGAGCTAGGAACATATCTATAATGGGAGGCGTCCAAACCTGCTATGGGAATAACCTTCATGGGGAGTTTCTCCTGTCGGTGGAAACGATACTCTGTGAATAGGAAAGCTCAGGATTGTGTACAACAATCTGTTGTTTTGAGCTGTTGTTAGCATTGCCCGGAAAACATGGACAATATTGCTTGAACCTATTCACCAGAACTTAAAGATGCATATAGCAGAGAATGAACTTCAGCACATAGCAGGAATAGTTAGAAGCATGAAATATATTGGTGATTTAAGGTTAACAGCTGCTGATGCAGGGATTGCAATATTAATAATAGGAATTATATGAAAGTATTGTAGCTAATACTATCATCATTATTCTAACAGTTAGCTATAACCTGCAACACAATTAAGCATCGTTAATAAGCTATTAATTCCATTGATACATTGCAAAGCTTAGTAAGCAACATCAATCATCTATTCTTAGCTGACAACAGGTTTTTAAAAATTTAGTTGATGTAGCCAGCTTGTGTGCTGAAACTAGGGAGAAGGGAAGCAGCATGGTTAAGGATTGCTGAAGACCAATTCAACAATAAATTCACTCTATATGCCTAGGAATTCAATTCGTTTCAATTGCTGAGAAATAGTAATGGTAAGCAATACATTGAAATATTATTGCATAGACAGCAATAATAATGACTAGCCATCATTATTGCTTTAAATATAGTAACAAATTTTAATTTTCAAAATCACCAGTACATCAAATGCATATTACCAAATACAAAGCATTATTGTCATTGAGTGCAAAGCTATAAAACTCCAAAAATCTCATTACACAAATTTATAAACCCAAACTTATAAAAAAAAATGTCCAAAACTATAATTCTCAATAGCCCATGGTATCCTCTAAACTTCATCTTGCCAACCTTCTTTCTTTTGGAAGTTTAGACCTGCTAAGAAACAAAACATCACAGGAGTATAAGAAGTAAATAGAACAATTTATTACAAAATTTTATTTATTACCTAACTAATAATCTTTTATTAACTGATCCTTGTGTGGACACGTCCAACACTATTTGCGAAGCAGATTGTTCTGAGTATACTAAAGAAAAATAATTGCATAAAGTTTCAGGTATTTATTTTTTACTTGTATAAACTCAATGTGTAAAGCCATTATACTCACTAATTTACTTCCATCTTTTTGCTTCAACATACAACTGATATTGTATGATTGTCTCACATACAACTGATATTGTATGATTGTCTCGCCTTGGAGTGTTTGAGCAAGTTCAATTTTCGTGATCTTTTCTTTCATCTCACCACAACTTATGCTATCTATTTTACTTTTATTTGCTCCTATGAAAAGCCACAATTGACATACTTAAGCTTTTTTTTTGTCATCTAAATCTCTTCTTAACTTCGGTGGGCAAGCCTTCTTAGGTTTATTTTATTTTAGTGGAAAGAGCTGTGTTATGTTATAATTAGGTCATTTATTGGGATTATTGATAGACATAATGTTGAACACATAATTTTTTTGTACGTTGTCAATGGTGTAGTAATTGTTGATAAAATTTTCATAGTCAAGCTCACTTGTATTGATTGCTGCAGAGACATGAAGACAAGACAAGCCCATTAATTCCTATCTTTTACAACTTTAAACCATATAATTTAAGTTGATAACGTAGTGTACCTCCATGCATTGTTGTGATATGGCAGTTTTCATCATTAGCCTCCTCTACAATGCAATTCTCAGATTCATATATATTATTTTGAACTGTTTCTCCCATATTTCGACAAAACTTACCACTTTACTTTGTTGAATTTTCTCTTTTTCCTTGCATCCCAGCATAAAAAATGCTCTAATATTTTCGAACACAGTTATCATGGGTAACTCTCTTGTCTCAAGAATCATTGAGATAGAGTTGAAGCATTCACATATATTATTAACTTATTACATTTGGAGATGCAATTCAATTGTGACTGAGATTACTCACTTGATTGTTTCTTAACCAACCAATGGTAAGTGTTATGATCCAATTTGGCCAATTTTTTCATGTTGCATGTAAATTGATTTATTGTAGCACTCCTCGTGCTGCCCACAAAACATTCTTCAAAGCTGCTCTCTTGAATAATGCTAACTTAAAAATATCATGGAGATGTCGTCCTCAAAATTTATTTGTAACATCAAACAGATTATGGTTAACAGCATGCATCAATCCCTTTGTTTATTAGAGATAAATATAAATATAAACTTGTGTTGGTTATAAAAAATATGTAAATCTCTAGTCAACAAATCCAAGAATCACTTCAAACTATTTCTGGTTTCACTTTCAACAACAATCCATGTTATTATAAATATATTTTTATGACCATCCAAACTAATTACAGTTAATAGCTGCCTCTTGTGGTCTCTTCAATAAACAACCATCAATCCCAATTATTGGATAGCAAACTATGAGAAACCTTTTTGAGAAGCTTCAAAGAAAATATATATCCTAACGAACCTCATTCATCCTCCAAATCTATCGCTTGTGTTGTTTGTATAGATATAATCGTTCCCGGATTTGTTTTAAAATTTCCAAGCAATAATCCCAAAGCTTCTTAAATTATTCATCCTTCTTCATGTGCACCAATTTACTTACCTTGTAAATAGCCTTCCTAGCTTGTGAATTTGAAACATATAACTTCAATTATTTATTACTTATCTTTTAAAAAAATTAGTCTTGCATTGCGGATTTATCATTACTTTATTCATAAATTATTTGCTATAATTGCGGAGGTTAGGATTTTGTTATGATAACTCCACAAACTTGTTTGCTTCTGAAGCGATCTTATCTGCCATGAATAACTTTCCTCATGCTTCAATATATACAAATGAAATGGACAATTAATCTTTTTACAAATAGCTTTGCATTTGCTTCTATCATTTTTTAAGAACTTAATAGTCTTTACCCTGGCAATTAACCAATTTTGCACATTTTTTTTAAATTCTTCCTTACTACTAAATAGCATTCCCACTTCAAGCTCATGTTTTTGGAACTCTATCATGGGATAAAAAACTTGCAATTTAATACGGTCATTTTTGTCATTTTTATGAACACTGACTTCATTATAGAAATTCTTACAGTCACTATCATAACATTTTGTTTCCAATGCAGATTAGAAATTTCAATGCATTCTCCAATCTGTGAATTAAATAGAAGATTCAACATTGATTTTAAATAACTCGTTATCTTCATGATAGTCATAGTCACTGTCTAAAATTTTTTAAATAGTTGAATATGAGTTTTTTGTGAACAAGTTTTTGGACCACCCTTGCTACACTTATGTTAATTGGGTTTTGTCTATCTTGGCCAAAGTATCAATTTCAAGACCCTGTACTT